TCTGCACAGCCCCATCCCGACCCTCCCGCTGCCCCGGGGGCTGCACAACCCCCCGTCGACTCATGTGTCCAAGGGCATGACCATGTGTTTTTACACTCCCATGATTCTGGTGTTTTCGTGCCAGAAACATGTCGGATCCCCGGAAACCCGTGACAGGAAAAGATTCCCAGAGCCGGAAAGGAAATGATTGTTTACGGTGACTTCAAGAAGAAAAGTTACAATGCAGTGCAGCTTTTATTAATGAGACTTTTCGGTCTGCAGTAAATACTTTGGGCTTTGCTTGGAAAGATCCAAATAATTACAGTTACGTAGCTGATAAGCTCATTGTAAATGTGATTTTTTACTGATCTTTGATGCACAAGCCTATTATTGGAACGTACTTAAAAGTACATTTTTTAATTATGTCTTTCGGAAGTTCTTGCTCTTACTTGCAGTATTTTAATCTTGCTATTCAAGTTGTCTGTCTGGACTCATCTGTCAGTTTCTTATGCAAACAAGATGATGCAAAATGTAAACTTTGACATACTAAAGCAGAAGTTAGGTTATGAATTACACAGCGCTATATGGATACAGTGTATTTCCGAGAGTGAGGGTTTATGGATTAGTTGGGGATAGGCTCAGCTTTTTCTTGTGTAGCTCTTGGTAAGGCATGTTTCTTCTGGTCTGCAGAAACCTTAACCACCATTTCCAGCAGCTTTGACGGAAAAGATAAACATAAAGTGATGCTGCAATACCAGCAAGTATCTGTGTGCATCCAAGAAGAAATATAAAACTTGTTATATTTAACAGTAATGCTCCTTTACATTCTAGCTGAGAAGGTCACCGGGGCAAGTGTGTTTTCCAGGAGGTAAAAGTGAAGCCAGTGATAAAGATGAAATTGATACTGCTCTCCGAGAAGCTAAAGAAGAAGTGGGACTCCAGCCAGAGAAGGTGGAAGTGATCTGTAGGCTGGTGCCTGGAATTGATAAGGTAAGTCAACGTAAAATTAGAAAATAGGTTGGGTTGTTATATTTTGTGAGGCTGACAGTGACCTTTTCAAACCTCAAGGGAAGAGGGTTTTTTTCTGTGTTTGGTATTTGTCAGACCAGCCTTGAGGCACCAGTTAGTGACACACTGGAGTACCAGAGTGACAGTGCTGCACTGGTGAGAGTTTAGCAGAGAGCCATGAAGACAGTAAGGGTGTTAGAGCACATGGATTATGCGGAGACGATGAGAGAGGTGGGTTTGCTCAGTTTGAAAGCCAGCAGGGGATCTATCTGTTCTCTTCTCCTGGGTGTTTGTAGAGAGGACGATACCAGACTCTTCTCAAGACAATGGACACCAGCAGCAGTGTGGAAGTTTGGATAAGATGCAAGGAAAATACTCTTTACCATGAGGTTAGCCCAAAACCAGAGCAGATGTTCCTGACAGGCTGTATAACAGGGCTCCAGTGTCCTGCTGAAGCCTCACAAGTTTCTCACTCAGTGTCCTGCTGACACCAGGGCTGTGCAGGCAGAAAGGGCCTGCCAGAGGTGATGTGCACTGGGATTCCAGAGGAAACTTGATCAGGAAGACTCCCGAAGTTGTCTTTGGAGTGTAGGTCTCTGTTTGTAAATTAACAGGCTGCCAATTTCAATAACAATCTTCAGTATTGCAGAAGATGGGTTTTCCCATAGCACAGAGGGGCTGCTGTTTCTAAAGACTATTTTTGTTCTCCAGGTAACAGTTTATTACTATGTTTTCTGTTTTTCTATCTGTTAGCAATATCCTCTCCCCGTTAAAAACCAGAAGAACCGGTTTTGAAATTTTATTGCGAAATGCTTTAGTTAACTTCTTAAATTATAATTTCTGTGCAGATAACATTAAAGTCATGTAGCTCAGAGGCTCTGTGTAAAAGTGATCAAATTTTCAGTGTTTTCCAATAAATTGTTTCAGTCACTAGAAAAGATCATGTTGGTTTTGGACCTCAAAAATTTTACCTGTGGGAAGCTACTTTGTCTTCTCTGTACAGAATTCCAGGTGATTCTGACTCGGATGGAGTCTCTCCAGCCTTGCATGAAAGAGCACAAATGCTGTTTTGGTGTTACTCCTTTCTGCTGAACAATGATCATTGTTAGTGTGAATAAATAAAGCTAGCAACATATCTTAATGAATTTTGGTGTGCTCTTGATGCAAACTACTATTTCAGTAGATTTTGCCTCCCTACGGGAGAAGAGATTACATTTAAAGTTAAAATGTCCATAGATAGGTGGTTTCAAAAAGCATATGTGTTCTATAGCTAGATATGCTTTAATCATATTTCTGTATCTATAGGAACATATTTCTGTATTCCAGGAAAATTCCTATATCCTAGGAAAATAGATACAGAAATATGATAAAACATGGGTGATTTGGAAAATTTAGATTAAAATCAGAATTTGACAAAGTAAATAAGGAAGACCCATGAGAAAGCATGCATGCTTTTTATTCCTGTAGCAGAGTGACAAGCCTTTTTAACTGCAATATGATTATACAGAATGAACTGGATATTTGCAAAATCATGTTTAACAAATACAAAAAGATAATTTTAAATTGTTAAAACCAAATTACATAGCTTGCCATTAGAGGGACTAAATTACATTACAGTTAAGAATAGTTCATAGGCTTCTTGTACTCATTTTGCAACAGATGAAATGCTTTTAAAATAAAGAACATTTGTACTTGGTACAAACCTAATGTTTGAGGGTTTTGTTGATAGGGTTTTCTTATTGTTTCTTTTTCTCTCCTTTTAGATGAATCATTTGGTGACACCAGTTGTAGGATTTATAGAGGATGCATTCCAGGCCACTCCTAATCCAGATGAAGTGAGCGAGGTTTTTTTTGTGCCTTTGGAGTACTTCATCAAGCCCTTAAAGTACAAGGCCTTGTCCTATAAAACCTCATCAGGTTCCTTAACTCTGATGCACTGCTTTATATATTATGACCAGGAACATAAAAAGTCATTCAAGATATGGGGACTTACTGCACACTTTGCTGTATTTCTTGCTCTTGTAATTTTTGGAGAGAGACCTACCTTTGAAGTGGATTATGACCTTGACAACTTGATTTCATCCTCCGAGAATTACTTCATTAATTTGTATGCTTCTATATATGAAAGAAAGAAGAGTAATCTATGACAAACTGGTCTGGCAATCAGTTTATACTGAAGGAGGAAAAAGAGTTTTGTTTATTCCCATTGTACCTGTTATTTGTTTGAAAGTTATACTTGAATTTTTTTTCTGAATTGGGAACTTCTTAAAGCTTATTTCTAACTAATGTTTTTCTGTTGACTAGATTAATATAATTTTTGATGAAACACAGTTTTGGAAGGTCTGTTTCAGTTCCTGCCTCTGTTTTGTGTGATCAGAGATACTTTCTATGGTTTGCCTTCTGTATAATGAGATAATACTATTGTATCTAATTTGTGTCTCTTTGAGTTGGAATATGAAAGCTTTTGGGGGTCTGCCTGTCTTTTTATATGTGGCAAACTACATATGGACAACACAATGGATGCAGTCTGATGTGGTGTCTTTAAGCACTTACAAAACGCACAGTAAAAATATTAAAAGTGTTGGGTGCTTTCATAATCTTGTTTTGTTTTGCTTGGGCTTGTGGAGGGAGGAGGGTGGGATGATTTGTTTAATGAATCTTGCTCATTTCATCATTTCTCACAAGGAAATTCTGTAGGCTGTGGAAAACTTAGGAGAGAGGCAACAGGAATTAACGTTGCTCCTCAGCACCTTGTTAGCATCCCTACTGAGGAGTCATCTCCAGGAAAGACAAGTGGAGATGAGTATTCACAAGGACAAAAGTGCTAATGTATAGTTGGCTCTTCCTTCCCCAGGCACCCTGGCAGTGTCAGACATGTGGTGTTCTTAGTGCTTGTTCCCTCATTGCTGGAGAAGTAGAAGCTTATTCACAGTTGTCGTGACCTTACTGGCAGATGGTGACATTTTTAAAAGTTAAAGTGACTTAGTTTGGATTTGAGGTGTTGTTCACAACTCCCAGTGTTACCAGGCCTGGACAGCTGATTTTCCCTGGGTACCAAGGTGAGTTGAAAGCAGGCAGTGTCTCTCAGAATCTCGTGCCCTAGTGCTAGTCTTGAAGTAGAGGAACAAAAACAGTTGTTCCTGTGGGTGTTTGCACTTGAGCTGCCCCTGCACCAGTCACTAATGGATGGATGTGTGTAAAAAAAGAGCTGATGGCTTTTCCTCTGCACGTGCAGTAACTGATCAGAAGTCAGATTTGTACATTAAGCAGCTTTTTACTGTACTTGAAGTTGGCTGTCACTACAGCAAAATGCATAATTTTTACAAATACAAGTTTCCCAAATGCGGCTTGAGTAGCTAATCCTGATTTTCTAGGAAAGCCAATTCTGAGATACTTTTTAAGATTCTCATAATTGCATCCATAACATTCTTTGGCTGGTAGCATTTAGGCACTGAAATTTCAGCTTGTGTTTGGCTGGTAAATGCAGCATGACCTTTTACTGAAGAAGAGGAAGATGCTGGAGTTGCCCTCAGCTGACAAAAATGTACCAAAACAAGGCTAAAATCAATGCAAATCTTGCAAGGACTGAGTTTCCCTTTGCCTTCCATCCCTGCTTCAGCTGTGCCATGTGTACTATTTGTCTCTTCCCAGAGGTCATTCAGTGGCAGGTATTCTGCCTGAAACATTCTTTATACTGTGGCATTATGGAAATACAAGATTGGCAATCAGAATACTGGTGTGGAAAAGGCCTCAAGAATTAGCCTATTCCCTTGCTACCTAAAGATGGAATCAGATACCTGATATTCTGATAAATACCTATTTTTTAATGAGGCTTCCCTGCCCTATCCATTGTGGTCTTTTAGCCACGCTGCACAACGTTTTTAGCCATAGCCAGGAGCACTTCTTGTCCTGTACACAGCACAGTGGTGAGCAGCTCATTGCCTTAGTTACTTCCTGCTCTCCTGAAAACTACATCACTTTGTCTTCCTGAGGCATCTTCAGACTTAAATAATCAGATTCCCTCGGAGTTTTTTTCAGTCATGTTTTCTATATATCTCTTGTAGTTTTTTTTGCTTTCCTGAGTCTTCAGCAGACCTTCCTCCCCCATCAAATACGTGATAATCAAACCTGGCCATAGTATTCTGGTTAGCCATCTATTTGGGTTGGCTAGCACAGGATTACTTCACAGCTCCTTTTTATCTATCCCTTTGTGATTGCTGGTGGGAAAGCTGCACAGTAATACTGACTCATATTCCACTTCCACTAAAGTTCCCTCATTCTTTTCTGAAAACACTGCCAGTTGTTCCTGTATTTGAACTTGGAGCATTCTGTATTTGAACAGTTGATTATTTACTCCAACCAAGTGTAGCACTTTGCATTTGTCCTTATTAAATTACATCCTGATTTTTTTCCCTGATCTGCCCCCTTGTTTTTTAGACCTCTCCATTTTCCTGTTTCCCTCAAGTTTAATGAGATTTTCTGTTTTATTTACAACTTGGAGTAAGCACACTCAGAACAGGCCTCTGCAGAATCTCATCTGGCAATGCCACTTTGACAGTCAACTGATAACTACTGTGTGTGGCTTTCAAATCAGCTGTGTAACATACAGCTACACAGACAAATTAATAAGGTTAAGAGACAAATATTAGTTTTTAATAGACCAGCCCTTCTTGGGTTGCACACAGGAACATTAGGCAGGGCTGTATCCCAGACTTGAGGATTTATAGTTTCCCTGTTTGCCAAGACCTACCTGTTTAACAGAGGATGTTTTAACCTATGTTAAAAGCAGTTTATAGGAAAATGGCAATGGTTGCTACATATGTCCTTTTTAATTAAAGTACTTACATAAAGGTTACCTGTCTTGGTATCTTCCCAGGAACTGGAATTTGTGTGAGTTCTCCAGTTCTTTCACAGGGCACTGTTTGTTTTTTCCCAGCCTCTGTCAGGGGGGAAGATAAAGTTCTCTAAATTTCAAAGATAACTGCTAATAATGCTGAGATTGGTTCTTAAGAGCATGGCTGTCATGGTGAGACTCAGCCACCTCAAACCCTTTAGCATATCTAAATGCCATCAAACCTTTCATATTCCTACACCAGCTCTTTTAGCTAATGTTATTATTAATGTCCTATATTAGTTATATTTGATATCAGTTGACTTTCTAAGTTAAAAGAAAAAAATATTCGCGTTTTTTTGGCCAGGATGAAATCCTTGGAGAAGTAGTAGCCACATATATGAAGAACAGCTTAATTTTTCTTTATTAAAAACCTGTGAAATTATTAAAACATTTTTAAAAGCTTGGTTTCAAACTCTTCATCATATTACTTGTACCCTCAGTGGTTTCTCTCAGTGCTAATGTGTGCAGGAAAAGTAAGTGATTAAAATAAGAATGTTTTGAATTAAAATAGAGCAAAGCAATTAGACCTTTGATTAGTAAACAAAACAGGTACCAAGAGACATAATTACTAACTTGGCATCCTCCTCTGCTCCCAGGTGACTTTTTTCTTTTCATCTCTCAACCTGATCTGAACAGAAATTGCACAGATTGTACAAATTCAAACCATTGTTTGGCTTCAGTTCTCTATTTAAACATTATTGTGGGGAACTGTCAGCACAGCACCAGCAGTTCCAGCTGTTGCTCCTTTTAGAAAATGTAAATTGTGTTGATTTATAAATCAACCATTTGAGGTTGTTGAAAAACAAAACTTACAGAGGTCCAGCCACAAATTCTTGAGTGATTTACAGTTAAACCAGTGGGGCTTCATGCTTCACACTGAGCATCCTATGTAATTTTACTGCCATTAGTTTGGAAATTTGGGAAGTACTTTCTTAACTCAAAAGACTCATTCTTTGTTTAGGTATCCATCTGGGATTTGAGTGCCAAAAAAACTACTTTAAGCACAAAAGTAATAGAAGGAAATTTCAGTGCTTGCTACTAAAACTATAATTCTGCAAGTCCCACATTTATTAATTGGAAATTGTTACCTTAGGCAATCTTCTGATAAAAATCTTCCACAGTTTTTTGGGGCAGGAAGTAGAACACAAATCCCTTCAACCTGGGCAGGGTTCTTTCCTACTGTTCCTGTGTTATATCTGAATATTACTAAAATTTATTTCTATCCACTTTTATTCTGAATGTAGTGATTTTAAAGGGTGCTTGTACTTTGCATTATTGATTGCAAATGCACTGATACCTTAAGTATAGTATGTTAATATAGCTTCTAATCTGAAAAGGTGGTTTGTACATATGTATATTTATTCCTTGAGCTTTTCTTACAAACAAATCACCAAGGTCATTACTCAGTTGAGAAAAGGTATGAAAAATAAATTCCAGATTATATTCTCCAGCTATGGGATAAGTGATGTTAACATGACAGTAAAATGGGTGCAAAGGCTTGTATCAGAACAAGAAAATTACTGATATGATATAAAATTAACTAAAAATAAGTGGTGTACAGTTGAATGTGAGTTAGTCATTCTTTTAGTTAATGTGCATGATTCAACATTTAACATTTCTATATTTTTCAGTTCTCAAATCAGGCTTTTGGTATTTAACATTTATGTGAACATAAAGCACATATGTTTGATAAGTAAACTGGTATTTAGCAATTATTGCCATATAAAAATAATAAAAATTACTTAAAAGTGTATTTAGACTAGTTTGCAGCACATTTGCGTGAGGAAAAAACAAAATGTTCCTTTCATCTCCAGCAGTTCAGTGTCTGTTGCTCAGTTAAAATGCAGCTGGAGTTCATACAGGGTTAAGGCATGTATAGATAGATGAGAATGCAAATATTCAAGAAAGCAGATTAATTCTATTCAACCTGTGCCTAAATCATGTAAATAAAATAGAAAATCTGGAGATGCTTCTGTCTTTCAAGAAAAACCTCATGTCTGTGTTTGCATGTCAATATGTATGTGATGTACCTACAGTGATCCTTTTTTTTTAGAAGGTTGCCATAGCAATGCAGCTTTCACAACAGTAAATGTTAAATCATCTCCAGTTTAAAAGAAATAGTTATAGTAAAAAGGGTCATTAGGTAATCCCTCTGTCCCCCTAACCTTACTCTTCCCAAAATGTAATCTAAGAAATAAGGAAGAGAAAAAAAGAATCACACTTTTTCTAATTCCTTGCAGAAGCTCATTCTGCAGTCAGAATGCTCACTTAGTGTATGGGATTGTGAGTTCCAACATAGATTTCTTTATGCTTTATGATGTTAACTAAATATACTACATTGAATGGTTGCCTGTTCCTTAGCAGTTCAGATTTAGGGTAGGTTTTTGTTTGTTTTTCAAAATTAAAAGTACATGTGCTAGGA